CTTCTCAAATTGGTTGTTAAGAGTTAGCTCCCCATATGTCGACCTTTAGCTCACCAGCAGCCTGCTAAACAGTACAAGGCGGGTGTTGGTGCCAGTTTACACTCTCAGGTTTCCGTCTGCTTTACTTGCTTCCCCGTGGACGTGTTCCAGCACGGGCTTTGGAACGGCTACATTTTTCACCAGGGGATGGTTCCCTGGAGGAATTCTCTCACAGCTCTTTCTGTTGTAGGACTAGAGCCAGTGGTTGCAGATGGAGAATACTGAATCCCGTTGCCGAGTAACGGTTCTCAGGGTTCTTCAGAGAAAACTGGCAGGCGAAGGGGTACATGGCCAGTATAAGTTGGGCACGTGCACCTTGCCCTTTGAGTCTGTGATCCAAGCTCCGTGGGGGCCCCAGGTTTTTGCTCATCTCGTTTCCAGCACAGTTCTCAGTTGAAAAGCTGGGACCTGAGATCCTGGTGCGACCCCTCGTCACTGTGACAAGAGCCCGCATCGGGTTCTCAGGGGCCCTGACTAGACTCAGCCCACAGGAAGCCCATGGGAAAAGACACCCAGTAGCCAGCCACTTCCAAGCCTGACTCCCTGGCTAGGGTGCCTGTTCTGTGGGTGTCTTTGCGGGTGTGTTTTGGCTGGATCCTTGTGTTACACTTTCTCATATTTTTTAAAAACGTACACCTGGAAAAGAACTGCAATGTGTGAAGTGGGCTGGAGACTACTGTTGCATTTCCCCACATCCAGGGCCGGCTCACTCACTAGGCGAACTAGGCGATCGCCTTGAGCGGGCCGGCCCTTAGGGGCGCCAAACTGCACCCAGCCCCGTACTCTGAGAGTTTCTTGATTATTTGTGTTTTTCATTCTTCCTAAAATGCATTTATTTTTGAAAAATGGCAGGCGCGGGGGGGGGGGCGCCAGAAGAGATCCTTGCCTAGGGTGCAAAATAAGCTGGGGCCGGCCCTGCCCACATCCTGCTAAAAGCAACTACCCCCTGGCATCCAGATGCAGGTCCACTCTGCAGGCCTGGTTTATGCTGTTTTCCCCGTGTACAGAATTCCATGAACCTCCACTGCTTGCAAGTAAACCAGAGTGTGCCTCTGATCTGCTTGGTCACTTTTGCAAAGCATTGCTTGTGTTTTGCAGTTCTTAGTAGGGGTTCTGCAAACCCCACCGTGCTAAATTTTTATTATTAAGGCCACTTATTAGAAGCCCCTCCTGTGAACGGCTGAGGAAAGGACTCGGTTCCAGACTGCAATGCTTTTGCAAATATGTGTTTTCCCCACGCTGGTTTGCTAGCACTGGCCGGGCAAGTGGGAGGGCATTGCCTCAGCAACTGGGCCATGCTCTCCTGTCCATTGCAGGACTGCAGCTGGACCCCGGCCTGTAAATTGCAGCACTGAGTTAATTTTAATGGTTGGGAAGGAAGAGCCGCTGCTCATTCTGACGAGGAAAAACCAAGTAATCCAAGTTCTCCAACAGCGGCTACTAGTCTGAATCTACATCCCACATCACCATCAGCTCTGCTCAGAATAGGGCTTCTTACAGAGAAGGGTTTCAGGGTAAGGATGCCTGACTGGTAGCAAAAGAGGGCAGTAAGCAGTGAGGATCTGTGTCGTGAGCTCCCAGTTGGCCAACTTTGTCGGCATCACTGCATCTTGCCAGGGGGCCTCCAGGCACGCCAAGCAGCAGCCAGTCGAACTGGGCAGGGGCGACCGAGGCCGTTTCTGCGCTCCAGATTCTGCACCAGGAGCAGCCGGGCGCTGCAGCTTGTACAGGACGTGCAAATTGGCATTATTATACTATTTATTATGCATAATCCTGCAAGATTATGTAACTTTTCACAATTTCTTCTGGTTTTGTTTGTAAAGCGATGGAGGACAGCGTTGTATAGAGCAGTGACTTCCCCCACTCCCAGCCACTAAGGATCTTGAGTGCTCTGCTGCTGCGTATACTGCAGTTTCATAAACGTTTGTTTCCTGCACCTTCAAACATGATTTTGGTGGCTGTTAAGGACTTGGAAACTTGTTTCCTAAAACTATGAAAGCTGAGATTCTTACAAAACGGAGTTATGTGGCCAATATCCCATTTTTGCTTCCCCCCGCCCCCTGCTCATGGAATCATTGCAGGTTGCAGTCCCTTTTTGACAACAGTAACTGTGCCTGTTTTAGAGAAACAGATGCCAGAGTTCTGTTAAGTGTACTGAAATGTTAAACTATAGTTTCTGTACTGAATAATGTACTTTTTGAAAATGTTGATTGTCTTGGTTTTTATACACTTAGCAGATTCCATTCTGATTTTTTTTACTTGAATTTAAATTCTTCAAGATATCTTGTAAGTTGCTTAGGTCCTTTAGGTCTCTGCTGTTTAATCCTCCAAGGTGGGTTCATTTAGGCACCATGTGCTTTTGAGGGCAGCAGTTCTTTAGAGAGCAGTTGTGAAACGGGCCTTTCTTTCCATTTTCCCAATTTGTATGTGTGTGTACTAAAAAAACTCAGCATGAAAATGGGCGGAAAGTGTGTCCTAAAAAAAAAAAATTAACTGAAATGATACCACATAAATATTTATCTACCAGACTTGTTAATATTAATTCATATATAACATACAAGAAATGACAGATGACGACTGTTTAAGATCTGCAGAATCCTTCATGACACTGGCCGGCATTAAATTCATCCTAACTCCAGGCTTTTCATGTTAGTTCTTATTGTGGGTATCACATACAGAAATCTCAAGGGACTGAAAGTCTAGTAAGCGAACAGATCCAGGTGGAGGCAGCCCTGTTGGTCCGGAGCAGCAGAACAAAGTTTTGAGTCTGGTGGGGGCACCTCTAAGACCAACAGAGTTTTAGTTCTGGGCTCTTTTTGTAGCAGGAACTCCTTTGCATATTAGGCCACACACCCCTAATGTAGCCAATCCTCCCAGAGCTTACAGAGCTCTTCTTACAGGGGCTACTGTAAGCCCTAGGAGGATTGGCTACATTAGGGGTGTGTTGCCTACTATGCAAAGGAGTTCATGCTACTTTGTGGGCAGGCACACGCCTTCAGCTACAGTGAAACAGACTTCCTCAGGCCTTACATATAGGTAGGGAGAGGGTAGGAGAGGTAGTCGCCAGGAAGGACTAGTTAGAATCAAGATGCATAACTAACTGGGTGATGAGTATAGCTGAGATTGGATTAAAGCCGTTGATAAGACCTGTGAATAGCAGCAAATTAGTGTAAAATAGTCCTTTTGAACTATGGTGCTGGAGAAGACTCTTGAGAGTCCCTTGGACTGCAAGAAGATCAAATCAGTCAATCCTAAAAGAAATCAACCCTAACTGTTCCCTGGAAGGCCAGATAATGAAACTGAAGCTCAGATACTTTGGCCACCCAATGAGAAGGGAGCACTCACTGGAGAAGAAGCCCCTGATGCCAGGAAAGATTGAAGGTCAAAGAAGACGGGGACGGCAAAGGATGAGATGGTTAGACAGTGTCATAGATGCAACAAACATGAAATTGAGCCAACGTCAGAGGACGGCGGAAGACAGGAGGGCCTGGCGGGATCTGGTCCATGTGGTCGCGAAGAGTCGGACTCGACTGTGCGACTGAACAACAACAAGTGTACAAATACAGGAGTTGACAAACAGATGTGAGAGCTCCGTTTGATCCCTGTGGCACAATAGTCACAGTTCTTACCAATGATGTTATTCCAGTCTTAGCCATGCTTATTGCTCAGTGACTTATGCATCATGACTCTAATTAGAACTTCCTGGCCACTAACTCTCCGACCTGAATCTAATGCTCGAGAAAGTGTGTTTCAGTGTATCTGAAGAAGCGTGCGTCTACACATGCTGAGTCTCTCAGTTCTCACTTGTACCCAACTTTGTTGGTCTTGGAGGTGCCAACAGACTCAAACTTCGTTCTCACATCTATTTGTTAACTCTCGTGTTCTGATTTGCTGCTATTCGCAGGTCCTACCAACTGCTTGAATCCAATCTCAGCTATGCTCGTCACCCAGTTACTTATGCACCTTGACTCTAACCTGCCCTTCCTGGCGACTACCCCCCACCTATACGTAAGGCTTGAGGAAGTGTGTTTCACTGCATCTGAAGGAGTGTGCATGCACACAAAAACTTCTACCCAGAATTAAACGTTGTTGGTCTTAAAGGTGCCCCCACTGGACTCAACCTTTGTTCTAGTAAGCAAACCATCGCTTAAGGCCATAAAGGGTAAAGCTCCCAAGAAAAGATTTTTCTCAACCGTAAGAACCTTCTCAAGAGCCAGAGGGCCTTTGGGGAACTGCGGAAGGGGGAGGCAATTTGGAAGCCCCGTCCTCCCAAAAAAATTACTCCAGGATTCTATTGGCGGCGTTCCCTTTTAATTGCTTTCAAAATTCTGGGCCTTCTAGACATATTCAGTCCTTATCGGGCTGTTTGAGGAAGGGGCAGTTCTACTTTTGTTTAATTTACAGAGTTGTGTTTTTTGTGTGCATCTGGAGTCCTCTGATTTGGTAGAATACCCCTCCCTTCCCTGTTTTTCTATGGGTGGTTGCTGCTTTTATCACAATAAGAATTTCTGTTTACTTCAAAGAGTAATACCAAATAAATATGTATTTTTAATGAAAGAACTGAGAGACTTCACATCAGTGACAGTGACACTTGCATTTATGAAAATAACAATAAACCAACTTCAAAAGACATCGTATCTGGAATACTAATTAAGTAGGTACAACAACAATTCAGGCCTCTTGCACCAGAGAAGTCATTTTGACTTCTGTCTGGCCGGTCCCTTGAAGATGCATCGACTTGCAGCTCTGCTCTCCTCTGGGGTATTGTCTGTTCTTTTCAGGAGCTTCTGGAAGCCCTAGAACATTTAAGTGTCGTTTGATAGAAAAGAGGACCTTTGAGGTGAGCGGGATTCTCCTTGCGGCTTCAGGCCCTCCAGTTCCTAAGGGAGGATTGTGCCTTTTTCTCCTTATAAGGAATATTG